GGGTTCGTTCCAACACTGCGTCGGAAACAATCACTCATATGACATGAAGGCGAGGGCTGCATAACTTTGCTCATCCTCGGACGGATCCCGTTGTAATCATGCTCGCCATTGATGAATCAGGAGAGAAAGTCCTTCTCGGGAGAAATGTTCGCATGCTGGTCTTCAATAAGCTGTTTTTCCTAACGCTGCACAACAGAAAAAATTTCCCGGCAAATTCTACTCCGCGCTTGCTGGCTTCATCGAGCCAGGCGAGTCCTTCGAGGACGCCGTCAAGCGGGAGATGTGGGAGGAAGCTGGAGTGAAGGTCTGGAACGTCCGATATCACTCTGGACAGCCTTGGGTACGTTGACTCTGCGCGGCAAAACTCCCACCTATCAACCTCGATATTTTAGCCATATCCAGCCAACTTGATGGTTGGCTACTATGCGACCGCTGATTCTTCTGCGCCAATCCGTACAGATTTGGATAACGAACTTGAAGGTCAGTCGTCTGCCGCCGAATCGTTGATGTTGTGGTTTAACTCAGGGATGTGCCGTAGATGCTCGATGGTACACCAGAGAAGAAATTCTTGCTGTCTTGAGACATGCTAGTGGAACTCACTTCTCCCGTCGTGACCACCAGAAGCTCGGGGAGATCCAAGATGGTCCCGATAACAACCCCATGTCTCAAGATCAGTCTGTAGAAGTTAATAACAATGACGAGCCGCCCTTCAGGATACCCGCGCCAACCGCAATCGCAGGGGTTCTCATTCAGCATTGGGCAGAAGGAAAGGCAAAGGTACTATTAGAGAGCGGGTCTACAGCAAAGGCATGCATGTGAATAAGTAGATTCTGTAGAAGCATGTCATATAAATAGATGCGGTATGATTCAATCTATTCATTTTAGTAGACAGTGTGAGACTTCGCGCCACAAAGGTTACTAGGGTGTCATCGGAGAACGTTGAAGGAGATCAGAGTAATTGATATTTACGATACGAGTTTCGAATAGTGATTCGGAACTAACTAGAGAATAAGTCTAGTATGGACTAACTAATCAAACTGTAACGTGGCTGTAACCGTGTAACGAAAGATAAAGGCGTCGCGGCTAAGGATGCAACGGCGGCCGCACGGTGAACAAAGGGAAGTCCTTTCGGACAGCTAATAAGTACCAAGTGCTGATAGACTGGCAAAGAGCGTGATCGCGATAAAGAGTGTAACGTACATAGTCACGTCTATATAAACGAATGTGATTCGGCACGGTGGTTCCAGACCTTAATTAAAAAGTGGAGAGATGAATCTAAGCGCACTTAAAAGCATCGATAATAGAGTCAAGGAGCATATCATTGTAATCACCACCCGCCTCCCACATCGAGAAACCGCGCAGCTTGGTGTCTTTGATATACTTGCCCTTGGCAGCAAACGATTGGACGTTGTCGAAGGAGATCATAACTTGCGAGGTCCCATTGTACACATACGGCTGTAAAAGCAATGAAATGAGTACTCCTCCTTTAGGGTGGAATATTATATTTACCGTCTGGCTGCAGGTGTCATATCTGTGGTGGATACCATCAGCAGGCTTGCCTTCTTTGGTGAGGAAACCGTTGTCAATGAGGCCCCAGAAGTTGAAAGTGCCACCTGAACCCTCGTAAACACCACATACATCAACAGAACCGGTGTTATCCCATGCATCACCCAAGGGCTGATTGGAGGCGTTGAAGGTGGGGTATGCAGCTAGCGTCTTTGTGTCGGACACGAAAGCGTCACAGGGAGGGACGCTGAATGAGTGACCGTAGGAAGCAACACCGAGTACGATCTTGTCGACTGGCATCCCTGCATCCGTCCAAGTCTTGACTGCAGAAACAGCAGAGCCCTGTTGGTTCGCGGGTGCGGCGCAGGTGTCGTTCAATGGTGCGTTAGGCCCCACAGTTGTGAACCAAGAGCCCCAAACGTCGTAATTCATCACGGCGACGTAATCGAGGACCTTCGCGAACCCGGTGACGTCAGTCAAAGGACTTCCTGTAGCATTAAAGAAGGGTCCCAATCCTACGGCGGCCGAGAGGGTGAGCTTTGCCGCCACTGGGTTTTGGCGAAGCTCCTGGAGGAATGCGAGGAAATTTGCCGTATCGTGCACGCTAATGGTGTTGCAACCGATTCCCTGATCGTTCGGGGACTCCCAGCTGTTGGAAATCAAGGACAACTAGAGTCAGCGCGTGATGTCGGATTCACAGGAATCAACCTACTCGAATTGGATGCCATCAAGCTTGTACTGTAAAGCAAAATCTACTACAGTCTTGACAAATGCCGTCCGGTTTTTGGCAGTGGCAAGGTTAGAAGAGAACCACACGCCCCCAGTCCAGCCTCCGACAGCAATATGGGCCTCAACACCCTGCGCGTGGGTTAGATATCAAGTGTAGGAGCAGCAAATTCTTATTTACTCACATGTGCATGGGCCTCAGAGACAAACTGAGGGAGCATCTCGCCATCAGAGCCTGACAGGCTCAGACTATTGACACTTTGAGTGGTTTCTCTTAGAGAAATAAACATGGTCGCGTTAATCAAAGCTATCTGCATTTATGCCAATACAGGTAACTTACACAAATGAGTAGTACAACGTGTTGTACTTATCCCAGCTGACTGAAGAGAGCGGGAATCCTCCAGTCGCATGCCATCCGGCATACCAGGTTGCTATGACGGGTGTGGTGGAACGGGCGGCAATGGAATGGGCGGCAAGCGGGCTGGCGGTTATATTAGTCAGGGCAAGAAGCGGTAAAAGGAATGTGGGTAGCATGACGAGAGAACTCGATAGCCTGAGAGAGCCTGATCAAGAGAGATTGTAATTGCGGAGACAAGTTCTTATAGCTTTTCCGCGATCTTCTCGTTTGGGACGAAATTAATAGGGATCCACGTGGTTGCAGACTGGCAGTCGGACTGCCCCATAGATGATCTTGCTGTACGAGTGACTCGGACTCTGGTACTATGGAAGCGGTCACTTGCCGGTGATCGCAGACCAAGGCCGCATCTGATGATCTGCCAGGATGCGGAAAAAGGCAACTTCATAGAACAATGATAGTGCATTCATGACCATATCAGATTAGTCCGAATATCATAACATTGCCTGCAAGACCCCGTCACCATCCCTCAGTATACACTCCCCTTCGAAAAGTACACGGTCAGACATCCCGTTGTCTTTGATGTACTGAACGCAAGCAACATCAGTTGCTCCTGGCTGGCACCAGACAGCAGGAATCGAAAGCTCCTCGACTTGCTTGAGCAGATCGATAGTTATCTTGTCAAACACATTCAGTAGCGAAGCTGCGAACGTGGCAATATACTACTAACCTTAGCGGGCGTTATGATACTCAATGACGTCTCGGTTGGGTTCGGAAGGTCAGTTAAAGACCGTATGGTTTTTATGCCCTCCAACTCGTCATTCGACGGGTGGACCGGAGTTACTGGCTTGTTCCGCTGGATATACCATTGCAGAACCTATAGACGGTATTGATACGTCTATGACAAATCTTGAAGCAAGGAGTAGTACCTTCGTGCCGAACTTCGACTGGTCTGTAGAGGCACCGACAACGGCGTAGTGCGGAAATGACAAAAAGAGCTTTTGCTTTTGAATGGTGTTTGTCATGGTGGAGAGAAACCTGAGATGCATATCACAGCCATTGTGTGAGACTTGTGTCTTCCACAGCTGCTTGACAAGGAAACAATCCATTTATAGCTGTTGTGACGCCGTGATGCATGTAGATCTTGGCTTTCATTTCGTGCTTATGCTTGGAATTGAAAATTCACAGTATAATAAAGAAGGAATGGTTGTCTTCCTTATATTCGATACCTAGGGGAGACTAATTCACGTGGCAGGATGCGGCAAATATATCAACAGCCTGGAACAGCACTGATCCCTACTGCTCCCTGCAAAGACAATCAAATTAGAGGGGATACGTGTAGAGATAAATATTTTACCAACCATCCAGTTCGCAACGGAAACAGGTTCCCGACAAGAGGAATTCTGAAGGTCGTGCGCACCATAGTGCTGGCGGCATTTCGTTGGACTGTGTCACGGGAATAATCCACCGTTGTTAATAGTAATAGTTACCAAAGACGCGGAACAGACACAAAGACCGGATGATACACGAGGTGGGCGATATCTTTTGAGCGAAGCCATTCATACTATCAAAGCACAATGGAGGGTTGGCGAGGAAGGGTGCAAGGTACATAATACGTTTCTGGTTTGTATTTCTGTCGGATGAGCTTGAGCAAGGCAGACACGGGGCAGGGAGGTTCGCGTACATGTATCATGCGTTGTGAGCAGAGAAAAGAACAACCTCTTGATCTGTCACTGAACCAGGTTATTCTTCCCGTTGAAGGCCATCAAGTCAGTGGTATTTCGCAGGACCCCAACAACCTGCGACGAATTGCCATAGACCACCTTGAATGATCAGATCGATCAAGCTCGATAGGTGACAGTGCACATGCACATGATATTTGTTGTCGTCTACTTCAAGCGCGGTAGTGAGCGAGCCGTGGGAGTGTTGCGCACGGGCCAGGTCGAAAAGATATATAAACCTTGCACCCGACACATTGAATCCTTAGAACATACTCAGCTAGGATCTATTTTATAGAAACTAACTCGAGTCTCGCATGTTTACACATGCCACATCCTTCAAATCCACTCGATGACAACCGCGCACTCTCGTTCGACAGAGAACATGGCCTTCGCGTTTACGTGGGGTTTCGAGGACGTTTGGTTCTGTCCTTCGCGCGACTGCTTGCAGTTTAGTGAATAGGAGCCAGCGAGTAGAGCGTCTGTCTGATGGATCTCTATTTGTATCATACTAGTTTTTTGTAACCGTGCAATGTAATTTTATTTGACCTTTTGAAAATCTGTGATAGCAGTGCCATTACTTGGAAGTTTTGGTGGAGGTGTCCCAGGTTACAAATCTCGCACTGAGTAAGTGGCTTGTTATGATTGTTCTTGAAGTAGTGCATGCCACGCAAATACCAGGTGTTGGAGTCTTGTGGTCAACTATAAGTCTGAGCATGTACTTCAAAGACCTTGTTCAGTTCATGCCATGAAACTTTTTGAGTTGGCTTTGCCTTCTTGGTATTCCAACGCGGTTGTTCGTCATATCACGTTCGGCATCCTCATCGGGTTTACTTTGTCTGTAACGTCGACGTCCATATCATCATATCGGCGTGCTCGACGACGTCAAAGCCTCTTTTCGGAGCAACACGAGTTTCGGCCAATTGTGTTGAGAAGCGATGAAGTTGTATGTGGGGTCACTGGGTTGATAGGTATGTGACCTGGTCGTTTGAGCGTTCTTCAAGGGCATCGAAGTCTGAACGTCCAGGAAATACGCCTTTGGTGAGGATTGACTCATTGAGTGACGCTTTGGGAGTCGAGATTCTTGGAAAGGCAGAGGTGTGTTTCGAGCTAGAACATACCCCTTTAATGTTTCCAACTTTTCGACAATTTGTAGTTTCTGAATCCAGGAGGAAGTGTCAAAGACCGAGTTGCTCTGCGCAGTGAGTCCGTCACGCGGCGATCGACCTAAAGCTCATTATTTTGCGAACATGAAGTAATCGAGGACGCAGAGCGGCAAGGTTTGCTGCACCCTCACACTGGATCCCGCATCTTTGAAGGCACTGTTGGATCTACTGGCATTTCAATAGCGACGATAGCCAAGGCAAGGTAAGTGATCCTAATTCTGGTGAAAGAACGTTGCATCTAATAATACGATGTTGCAGGGGATATGATACAAGTAGGCAAATTCCTCAAGCTGTTGAACCCATCTCACGTTTCTTAGCGATTATCATGCCGGATGATGTTGCCCAGGAGAAGGTGAACGCCTTGCAGGCCCTTGGAGCTGATGTTCAGCGTGTTCGTCCTGCGAGTATCGTCGACAAAAAACAGGTGCGAACTCATACCATGGTCACCATTTTATGTATTTACCAGAATCGGCATGATAATCGCAGTATGTGGTGAGCAGTTTCTTTGTCGAGGAAAGTTACGCAGTGAACATTCACAAATCTGCAAAAAGAATATCGCCAGGCGAGCAGCCATCGAATTCGGACGTTCAGATATAATGAAAGGCTTAGAGGACGCCCATGCCAACCATGAGCTCCATACAGGTTCTGCATCTGTAGTGGTCACGACTACATCGTCGCACATTAATGCAGAAGGCACCATTGACGACCCGCTGGATGAAGATCTGCTAAGCAAGCCAAGAGGCTTCTTTGCCGACCAATTCGAGGTGCTTACCTTGATAATTAAATGGTAACTAAACTCACATATACACAGAATCGCAGTAATTTTGAAGCCCATTACAACGGGTCTGGTCCAGAAATCTGGCGTCAAACTAATAGTCATGTTGATGCATTTGTATCTGGAGCAGGTGCGCGTGTGTTATGTTCAACTTGTCCGGTTTTTCAATACTATATGGACTAGGGACGGGCGGAACGATCGCAGGTATTGGCCAATTTCTCAAATCGATGAATGAGGAGGTGCAAGTCGTCCTTGCGGACCCAGAAGGCAGTGGTCTCTACAACAAGGTCGAAGCCTGTCTTTGTTGGCTGCCTGACTTTCTCTCACACTCCTTCAGGTCAAGTACGGCGTAATGTACGACCGCAAAGAAGCTGAAGGAACAAAACGAAGGCATCAAGTCGACACAGTGGTTGAGGGAATGTGCGTATACAAGCGCCATCTTCATTGTCCCATCTGACCTATCTATCTCCAGAGGAATCAACCGGATGACAAATAACATTGACCTTGCGATTCCGATCATAGATGACGCGTTCCGGTACGTTGAATCCTTTATCTTTGACTTCAATGGGGAGCTCACCGACGATGAAGGATAACTGATGTGGAAGCGGTTGCCATGTCCCGATACCTCGTTCAAAATGATGGTCTATTTCTGGGTTCCAGCAGCGCCTGCAATCTGGTGGCATGCATCAAATTCGTAAAGAAAAGGGGATGGCGAGACGGTCAAACACTTGTCACAATCTTGTACGTTTCCCTGGACACCCGCGGAATGAATGATGTGATTCACCGTCTTCCCAGATGTGACTCTGGTAACAGACATTACTCCAAGGTAAGTGCATGGTATCTAGGAAGAGCGGATGTTCCCTAACGCGTCTGTGCCTGGGTTTTCGTCAGTTCTGGTAAGAAAACCTCATGTCTCATTGGAGAAACGTTGACATTTGTGTAGGAATGACGAATATTTGCGTAAAGCTAATATTCTGGTCGACCGCCGTATAATCGACAATCTAATTGCCCAACCTGGTTCTGGAGTTTAGAAATCTCAATAATGAATCCATAAGTTGCACGTGGTAAATAATGTATGCGATTGCTATGGTACAAATGCTACTTGATGAAGCAAACGGCGGGATAAAGATAGCAAGGACGTCAAATTGAAGGCCATGGTGGGGCAGATATGCTAGGTGGTGTGTGGTTAGGCATTGGTCTGTGACCAAATCCATTTTGACTAATGGAGAGATTCCCTGTCACGGGAGGATGTGGTGAAATACGTGGTGTCTCCTTCGATGGGGATACACTGAGTGATGTATGGGAGATGCCGTTCATACTAGAGCATCTAGTTAGTGCCCAGCTATAGGGAAAAAATTACACATACGAGGTATCCTGAGCAGCAGCAGGCGGCGGGTCAGGCGTGATTTTGAGGAAACCAGCTTGCACCAAGAAGTCCCAAACTCGACTCGTCTTGTTCACATCAATCTTGACGAGATCCCGCGCTTCCCTGCGGCGGAGCTTGCCTCCACGACGAGCGTACTCCCGGACAAGGGTCTCCTTGATGACAAGATAAGGTTTGGGGAAGATTCGGAGCTGCGAGCAGAGGGTCTGCTCGGCTGGAGTAAGCAAATGCAAGGATGGGCTATTAGCAAGATTGAGAGGGGCGGCTGGATAGTAAGGTGAGCCATTGAACGATACTTTGGAATGGAATAAACGAACGTGGTCTGCGGATTGGAGGACCCGTCCCAGCAGGAGTCCCAAGTTTCGGAGTTGATTCTCTCTCGTGACTCTTGCGACCTTCCGATTCTCCTGCAACAGTGTCAGTAAAGAACATAAACAGAGATAATGAAGAAGCGTCATACTCGCGCTACCCGATGCACGAAGCTGTGCCAGACGTTCTGAAGAATAATAGTCGCGAGATAGATTTGCTTTCGCTTGAGTCTAACCGTACAGGTAAGCTGCATGGCTTGAGAAGGCAATTGTGGAACAATTCTTACCCTGCGAATGGAATCGAGTTCAAACTTATCGATATCGGCCGAAGTAGTAAGTCCCATTCGTCGATAATGCTGCAGATCTTGTATTCTCTTCCTTAGCATGGCTTCATCTGTTGCAGCAAGATCATCAGCGCCTTTCCACCACAATGCTAGAAGTTCTTACAGAGAATATCAGCTGTGAAAACTTCGAAATCCTCAGCAGTCTGAAGTCGAGCGAACGGTCGGAGCCGCTGAACGATGTCCTTTTCTTCCTTCGGACGCTTCTTTTCGGCGGCTTGCATCTGAAAAAGAAGTGAGTTTATGACGTGTGTACACACGCCAACATACCTTTTTGTATTCCAAGAGGCCTCGTTCATACATGATAGCTTTGGCTTCTCGTCGCTTGTCAAG